ATGGCTATATTAATTTTATTTACTTTTAAGAATCACATTAAATATAAAAATAATTCAAATATCACACTAATATTTTTTTAAATAATGAATTTAATTGTATCTGACCCAAATAAAAATAAAACGGTGGAGACAGACAAGGTGGGGGGACACAGAGAGCAGAAGCAGCAGAGCGGCATGGTAACCCAACCCAGGCTGCCCTTTCCTCTCCAGTCCAAACAATTTAAAGCTAATTAATTTTAGCATCAACACTTAACACCCCATTTCTCTCTGCCCAGGCTTTCAACACTTCCTGGTTGAACCCAGGACCAGGACTCTCTAATTTTCACAGCAAGGAGGCGTTGTTAATGGCGGTTCTGAAAGTGGGTCAACGTCCACCGTGTCAAGGGAGGATAACATGGTGGTCTCCTCTGAAGATTCTTCGTGCCCAGATGAGTCTGTATTGGAATTGGGTATTGGCCTCAGCCTCGGTGATGGTGGTTCTAAGATGCACCAGGTTTCAAAGAGTGGTCAATATGCTAGGATTCTCACTGCTCAAGATTTTCCCCCTTCGTCTTCTTCCCCATCATCGTCGTCTTCATCGACTTCGTTTTCTTTAAGTAGAGCTAATGTCACGGCCGGGACCAAGAGGACTGCTGATTCCGTGGCTGCTGCTAATGGATCTAGGTATGCTTCAGTTTTACCCTGATTTCATGATTCATAGTTTCATTATAATCCATAGCTCTGTTGTGGTATTTAGTTGAGTTCGTAAGGGATGGTCTCATCAATTACTGGATTGTTTTACAATGAATACGAGATCAGGGGAAAGAGAATTAGGAAGGAAAAGAAAAGAAAGCTAGTCTCGTCCAATTAGGCTAAACATATTTATTGTACGATTTATTAATTTAGGAAGAAGGGGTTGCCAAGGGGAAACAACTAAAAGTGTTAGGTTGTTTGATGATTATGTGTGAAATTGGGATGCTTCCAGTCATTCTCGTTGAGATGGATCATGTTTGTTGCAAACAAACTATTTTTAGCATATATTGTTCATAATCCTATTGGTGTTTGATTTTCTTTCAGATACATTTTTTGACATGGTGTAGGAAATGATCCTATAAGAACCCTAAATACACGGAAAAGGAGTTAAAATGTCGAAAATATTCGTAGTGCACGTAAGTCTGAGCTAGCTATTTAGTGTTTCTACTCAATTTCAAGATATAAATGCTGATAGATCTCAGGTGTCGTGGTCTTGAATTCCAAATTCGGTATAGGTTTCTGCTTGTTGATCCAATAGTTGACTTAGATACATGGTTTAATCACTGAATGACTTCTACGATTGATAAGAGGGTCTTACATATAAAATGATAATGATAAGTGTATTGAAAATAGGGGAAAAGTAATAGAGTGGATCCTAATCGTCTTTTAAACAACTTGGCAAGTTAGAAAATAGGTGATTGTCGGAATCCTGAGTTCTTGAACCAAATTGTAAGCCGAAAATCGAATTATATAGGAACCTATACGTGTAGTGCCATATTAAGTGGGCTGCATCGAAATCATGGCAATATCCATGCCATCGAGACAGTTTAATTTGTAACATTATTGTATGGTTTCGGTACTCGTTAGTAGCTCATAGCTTATCTTTCTATTAACATACTATTGAGTTCTGGTGCTTGAACTGTTGATTTTGTTTGAGTTCAAAACAGTAAAGTCGTGGGGTGGCCTCCTATCAGAGCTTATATAATGAATAGCATGGTTAATCGAGCAAAAGCATCGGTCACAGAAGGATTTAACTCGACAATAGAGAACCATAAAAAGGAGGCCTTGATGGTTGAGAACAGCACCATTGGCAGTTACCATAACAGTGGTAATACTAAGCTCCGGAAATCTCTTTTTGTGAAGGTGAATATGGATGGAACTCCAATCGGAAGGAAGGTTGATCTGAATGCCCATGAATCATATGAAAAATTAGCAAAAACGTTGGAAGAAATGTTCCTTGAAACCACCCCAAGTGTCAATTCAGCAAGTGAGCTTTCCTAATTTATTTTGTTTTGACTTTGAGAAGACTAGTTAAGTGACTGTTTAAGTACCGACCATGCGCAAGCCAGAGGATGTATGATTTTCAAGCATTGTGTCAAAATAGGATACGTTAAACCAGGAACATTGTAGACTTTAAAGTAAAGAATTGTTAAACTTAATGGAATTATAGAAGGAGCTGAGATTGAAAAGGCTTTTGAATTCCACTTTAGAAGAATGAACTATGATTTTTCTATTAGATGATCCTCAAATTATGTCTCTCTTACAAATGTTTATCATGATTTTTGCAATTAGGATCAATGGCGCTGCTAAATGGATCATCTGATTTTGTGCTTACATGAGGACAAGGAGGGCGACTGGATGCTTGTCGAGGATGTTCCTTGGGAGTAAGTATAATTTCGATTATGCATCTCACTCTACGTATTTGTTTCTATGGTCTCAATCAATGGCGTTAAAGTTCCTTTTTTAATGCCTGGACTGAACCAAAATGCGGGATCCTCGTTCCACCTATTTTCTACTGTTAATTAGTTCAGGCATTAGGATAAAGCTGGGGAGGTACATATGCCTTCCCTCCAGTGCCCTTGAACTTGCTTTGAGCATAGAAAGAGTACGTCATCTCCTTAACACTCTTCGTTAATGTTCTTGGAATTGATTCAGGATGTTCCGTAGTTCGGTTAAGAGGCTTAGAATCCTGAGGAAATCCGAAGCTACTGGATTAGGTATGTATGCTTATTCATATTCGTATTCTCTTCCGACAGTGTTTACGATGCTTTTTCCATTCTAATAGCTTACTTTAATTCGTAATTTACAGCTCCGAGATCATAAGAAAGGAACCAAAGGCAAAGAAGAAAGGCCATATAGAATGTGATTCTCTCAAATCCCACCATGTATAAGATGAATAGGGCATCCCTTGCAAAATACAAAGCAAAGCCAAAAAAAAAAAATACAGGAAAGTTAGAGCTGTGCGAAAATCCTCGTGTGTCTCCCCTTTTGTTTCCATCATTACATGTTTGTGTTTCAATCTCAATGGTGGCCATATATATTTAGTTTTCAATGCAATGTTAATACAAAATAATACGTGGTTAGTGTTGTTCTTTTACTTGTGTCTGTAAATAAAAAAGAGGCATGTTTTTACTATACTAACATCATTAATGTTTTTACTGTCAACATCAACATATGACTATTTCAAAACATGAACTATTAAAATTAACTGTCAATATTGATAAAAAAAATATATATATATATATATATATGTATATATAAAATTGAAGTCTTAAATGAGTTGATTTTGCAACAAGTCCCAACTATTTTAGGATTTTCTCTGTAGGTTTGCAGGGTTTACTGGAAATAAGCGTAAATTATACCATTGATCACTCAACTATTTAGTCATTTTACTTTTGCCACGAATCTTTCAATTTTGTCAATTAGACCACAAAACTATTTAATAGTATTCAATCAAGCCACCCAACGTTAAAAATTCACGGAAGTGTTGATATGCCAGTTAATAAAACTATATAATTATATATTTGGTCTTCAATATTTTTATATTTTATCTATTTTTTATTTTTCCCCATTCAGATGGTGACACGTATCACCATTAAGTTGGAGTTAAAACTATTATAAAAAAGAAAAGAAAAATTAAGAGAGGATAAGGGGATTCGAACTTGCCTGAGTTGGGGGAGAGCAAGACTTAGCAACTAAGCTAACCGAAGTTTGCAAAATTTACACATTAGTATATATATAATAGATTCTAGTTAATGTCGGAGGAAAACGGACATGTAGACTTTTGAGCCGAGGCTAAATAAAAAATTTGGGAATACTAAACCATTAAAGTAAATTTAAAGATTTATATATTTTCAAACTAAAGTTAACTAAAGTTTTTATTAAAATATAAATGTATTTTAAATACTAATTTATATAATAAAAATTAAATGTGTAGAAAATATAAATGATTTGTGCATTCAAATATAAATTAAATTATTTATATTTTCCATAAATTATATATTTAAATTAAATTATTAATTAAATTAAAAAATAATTTAAAATTGTATATAATCATAAATTAAAATTTTGAATAGAAAAGAAATATTAAATTTAGTTTAAAAATATATATCTTAAATTTAATTTTTCTTTTAATCTTATATAAATTAGTATTGAAAGTATATATATAGAATATATCCTACTATTATATAAATGTAAAATTTACTTTGATGGTTTAGTATTTCCAAATTTTTTATTTAGCCTAGGCTCGAAGCTTCGAATGCCTTCATGTCCATTTTCCTTTCTTTTTTTCTAACATTAACTAATATATATATATATATATATATTATTGTGTAAACCATAGATCAAAAGTTGAGGCCAGCTCGGTTGGTAAGACGTCCCCCACCCCTACATGCAGGATCTAATCTCCTAATCACCTTTTCAAAACTCTTCTTTGAAATTTGTTTTAACTCCACTTATATGGTGACACGTGTCATCATCTGAGTGAAAAAAAAATAAATTTAATAAATTTAATATATATAAAATTTATAATAAAATATGACATGTGTCACAATTTAATTAAAGGATTAAATTTATTAAATTAAACTAAAATATAAGACAAAATTAATAATTGAAGACTAAATATATAATTATACCAATTTTATTAACTTTGATTTGATTGAATACAATTAAATAATTTTGTGATCTGATTGACAAAATTAAAAATCGATGACAAAAATAAAAAGGCTAAATAATTGAATAGTCAATGATATAATTTACCCTAAAAATAAGTGTAAACACACAATATACTCCCACTTCATCAAAGATAAATTACCAGAACGCCATTCCTTACTGAAACAGTGGAATCATGTAAAGAAATTGACAGACAAATATGTGCTACAAAACAAATGGGCTAAATATTTACAAGCAAAATTTTGGGTGGGGGCATTAACCGGTGAGGCACCAAACTAAAATCTTTATAAAACAGATCTCCTACTGTATACACAAAAGCTTTAAGCTGTTTTCTTTTTCCCCTGGCTATTTTCAAGTGAAAGTCTCCGCTGATTGTATCTTCTTATTGCTTTGGCTTGGTCCCCATATACGGATCGTATGATCATCACTAGCCGATGCCAACATCAGAGGCCTTTTAGGGTTCCAGCTGACACTGTTCACTGTCATCGAATGCCCGGATAATACCTCAACCGGTGTAGACCTTTGTCGGTTCCATATATATACCTGCCAACATTTGCATAAAGTAAAGATTTAATGCACTTCATTACAAATGTATAAGCCGAAGTTCATGTGCATATGTGCATGAGATAGAAATTAACAAAATGACACTTTTAGAGATGATCCCTCAAAAGAGACCCTCGGTAATCAGTATGTATATGAGGATTCATTTTCTACCCTAGACCTCACCTACTGAAGAACGAGATTTGGAGTCTGGAGACCGGACGCTGGACCAACTATGTACAGAAAGCGGGTTACCATATGGCTGCCCGACATGCCAAACATGATTAATAAATACAAGTGATTCTAGAAAAGGCACAACAAAAATAAATTTACATGTAAGGCATATAAGCATACCTGTGTGTTCTCGCTACCACTGGCAATAAACATGCTATTGATCCCACCAAAGCAGGACCGTATGACATACTTGTTTTGCTTGTGTCCTGTGTACTTTAAAGGCTTTGCCCATTTTCCGGCAACATCCCGCAAATGTATCTCTTGGCTATTCAGGTTGACAATAAAGAACTCACTGTCCATGGAAACTGAGAGAGATGTGATTGAATGCTCCTCTAAGATAACTTGTTCAGCATTTGTCCTCAAGTTTAAGATCCGGATTTCTTTGTCAGAGAATATGCTGATAAGGTTTTCACCATCTGATGTCACAGCAAGATCCAAAACCTTGGGCATGCGCATGCCCCTCCATGCTTTCATCTCAGTGCCATCACAGTCCCACATGCAGATGCCTTTTTCAGGGTCAGAACTCCCACAAACGATTCTCTTTGAGTCGGGAAACCAAGCACATGAGCTGACTGTGAAGCCATGGTCCCCAAATGTATGCTTGCAAGTGCCTGTTTCTACATCCCAAAGCTTGAGAACTTCCAAGTTTCCACATGTGAGCAACTTTGTGTCATCCGGGCTCCAAGCCACAAAGGACACGGGGTTCTGATGGCTTCGGAGTGTGTGTTTCATTGTCAGCTTATCATTATCCCTAACCTAAGAAATTTAGGGAGACAAAAAAATCAAGTCAAACACTTCAAAAAGGAAACTCAGAGATCAAGACCAGAAATTCGGTACCTGTAAAATTAATATAACATGTACATAGATACTGAAGACCATGGTCAGCATATAAAGTGAGTTAGAGTCGCATTTCTTAAAAGATTGATGCTCCCTTTAAGGGGAAATATCAAATAAATCGATTTCACTCAATTTTAAAGAATTAAAAGCAAAACAGAACATGGTATGATAAAGAGAACAAACATTAACATTATCAAACTGATAGATTTCATTTCATTTAATTCAAGTTTGGTAAAGAGACATTTAGGAAAAAACTCCATACAGTCATAACACCCCTACATGACAATGCTCATTTCCTGTTTGTTTCAATTTTTCGAATAACAACAAACTAGACCTTATTTGCAACCCCCTCAAGACCAAAGCAAAACTTGGAAAAGGGAGGCATTACGAGTTAGATGCACCCCTAGGCACTAGATGCATCTCCTATTATGCTATTCTAATTTATCATATCTCACTGCAACACAACAAAAACAATATTCCAAATCTTCAAGATAAAACAGCAGAGATAAATGCATACAAATATTCATTAAATAAAGTGTGCATCTGTTCAAATGCATGCAAAAAGACTGTCGTACCTTCCATATAATAGCTGTACAGTCACTTGAAGAAGAGGCTAAGTACTCTCCATTATTTGAAAATTGTATAAACCAAACTTCATTGCTATGTGCAGTCAAAATCTGCAGACATAAGAAACAAAAGGGGCCATGATACAGCTCAAACATTCAAAATAACAAACCAGAACTAGGCAGTTGAAAGAGGACACTAAAAAATTGCAGGTTTCACAATGTATAAATCAGCCTAAAGGGGAAGGAACTTGTTAATGTTCTCATCCTAAGGTGGGAGAAATCATTTTGAAGAAAGATCATAAATAACACTGTATTCTCAAATAAAAGAATGGTCTATAGGCTATATATCAGTTGTTGAACTGAGAATTTAGAAAATTTTGTGAAAGGCCCCAAACTAAATTCATTTAAAAAAAACTACAGAATATTATTTGTTATAAGCTTTCAACTAAAGAGTGATTTGACTTTCTAATTTCATGAAGTTGCATGGCTCATTGGTTTTCTCACTCTGCCACAAGCGACCATAATTTGAAATTCTAGAACCACAGAGACATAACGCTTTGAATCCCTTCAGGTCAGCCGAAGTATAATAACATGAATTGACAGAAGTTGTACTCATAATGTAGTTTATAGATAAGATTATACATGAATTTACAGGATAAAAATATAAAGGAGTGTGTTTGTTCCTTTAAGGTGTAAGCAAGTTTCGCAACATGGTGGGGGCATTTATTTTGGTTGTCCCGGTATTACAATAATAGCAATAAGTCACCAATACAACAATCTAAGCACTTCTATCAAACAAGTCAGTTATATAATTCATAGTGCAATATTATGCTCTTTCACGTCTCTTTGTTGCTCCAATATACCATAAATATAAAAAATAAAATAAAAAAAACTTTTTAAATTTCTTTTTTGGTTCAACACAATAAACGGAAATCTTGACAAACTGTTTCCACCACGCCTCATAGAAGAAAAGCAAATATGGTCTTGATATGTGGGTTCAAATTGACAAAGAAAAAAAAAACAAGTTATTAATAACATGTAAATTCATCAACACCTCATGGTTTAATACAAAGATGAGTGAATGAAGAATACATAATATTCTAAAGCTAATCCCTAAATCATCCAATTATCAAATAGGTTAAAAAGTTGAAGTAGCATTAAGATGGATGTAACAGTCTGAATCGTCATTTAAAGAAGCTTTATGTTAGCATTTAGGATATTGGCCTCTAGTATTTGTTCCATCAAATCAGAAGATTATTGTTGTAGCATTATCAAATATGTAGATAGTAAAGATGAACAGAAAACACCATATTACATATCCAAACTGAAGCATTGTGTTCATAACTTTGCGTCCTCTTTTTACTTCATTTCTTGGAACAGTAAACAGAACATATGATTCATAGTACAAATAACAGTATTGATTGCAACAAGAAGCATACCTGAACTGTTTCTGTAGGTATCTGATCTCTGCCACAGCAATGATCCTCATAAAGAGAAACTGCATCCCGGGAATTATGATATATACAGGAATCAATTTGAGCTGTTACACTAGTTTCAACCAGATGTTCTAACCGTCTCTCAGGCAATACAATTGGTGGAGGAAGCTGTTTCCTTAGCTCCATAACTAACCTTTTTCGCAGTTCACTAATAACATCTTCGTCTATCTTACCCATCTCTTTGAATGACAGTATATTATAAGCTAATTTGTGAACTGTTTCCTTGCTCATGTTTAGCGTGGGAACCTGTTTTTGCAAAACTGACAAAACCAAAGAATCATCCCCGCGATTCAAATACTCCATAAAACACTGCTTGAACACAAGAAACAAAACTGAAGATCGTGTATCATCCTTCACATCCTTAATTTTATTCACCGTATCAATACAATCATCCCAGTCTCCACTGAGTATTTGTGATTCCAACAAATCAAATTCGGCCGATTTATACCTAATACCAGACTCTATTTCCAGACAAGAAGCAGACTTATTGTATCCAAAAGAGTATAAGCATTGAATTATAACTCTTAAAAATTCATGCTTATTTATTAAACCTTTAGAGCCCAGTGTGGTAGGTGAATTCTCCATAGACTTTTGTTTAGGGAAATTTTAAAGCGTATGCATAAACCTTCTTGCTTTCTAAAAACAAAGATGCTCATTTCTTCTACTTGCCATCAGTTTCCTATATCATAGACAATCCAATCAGTCGAAAAATCATTCACAAAAATCTCAAGTCCCTGCAACAGTAAAAAATAAAAACACAAGCGCCACACACACACAATCATTGTAACAAGGATAAGGAGTTATAAACCAAATAGAGTAAACTATATAATAGTAATTCAAATGCCGAATTAAGACTTAGCATAGTGGAAGAAATATAGTGCTAACCATACGTCAAATCTGCCAAGCAAAAACACTTTTACTTCTTTACTTTCTTTTTTTTCTTCTTTCTTCTTTCAAGGAAGAAGAAACTAAAACTAAGAAGCAAATACCTTCGAAAGCTACAAATGGAACTTTCAGAAAAGAAGATGCTTCCATGAACAAAAGACAACGAAATAACGCAAATATTTCCCTCTCCAAATATTACCAATACAGTTAATCACACAAAATAAAACAAGCAAATTTAAAATATATATTTGAATAACAAATTAATTCAATTAAATAGACAACCTTAAAAACTACAAATTTAACTAACTACCCAAAACCTCAAAAAGTTACAACATGTTGAGATTGATAAAATATGAAGAAAAAACATTAAAGAGTAATTCATTCAATTGAGATAAATAAAAGGCTAAGGCTATAACTGAAATATTAAAAAGAAAAAAGAATAAAGGAAGGGGATAAAGTTGTACGTATATAGAGATAGAAGAATCGCCGGCGGTGACGAAAACGATAAACGGCGAGGAAAACAGAAACCGGGAAATATGAGGTTAAGGGTAACTTTGGGAAGTCTAGGGTTCGTTTTGGTGGAGAAGGGGAGGATTTAGCAACGGTTATTCTCACGGAATTGATGACGTACGGATGAGAGTGCTTTGTTGATTAAAAATAAAAAGGTTAAAATATCAGGTAGTCATCTGATTATAGGTAAGTTTTTATTTAGGTCAGCCAAATTAAAATGATATAAAGTGATCACTTGAATTATCGAAAATTATAAAATGGTCACCAATAGTTAATTTTTAGAGGATAAGTTGATGTGATCATTAAGTTAGTATAGAAATAAATTTAATCTTGAACATGATATTTTAATTTAATCCCACTTCTATAAAAATAACTGATATGATTCAAATACTTATATTCATAGTACATGCATGACAATAAAATAATAATAACCTTAACCAACCCCTAATTCTTCCTTCCAACTAACAACCCAAGACCACCGGTCAACAATACAATCCTTATAAACAAACTTATGGCATTATTAGATTAAAAAAAACCCATAATTATTTTTCTTTAAAAATAACCCTTTAGCATATTTATTAAAAATTACCCCCAAATTGTCATATAAATGACCTCGCGTTCTGTAAAAAGTAAAGTCAGACCTCGTATTTTACAAAAAAATAAATTTCATGTATTTATTATTGTCTTTATAAAAAAGTAAATGATTTTATCTTAAAAAGTTGATGGTTCTCACATCTTATAAACGCGAGATCCATTAAACGCGTTTTATAGGACATGAGGTAATCCTACGTGAATAATTTGTGTATTTTATAACAAATATACTAAGAGAGTTATTTTTCAAGAAAAATAATTATTGGGAGTTTTTTTTATATAATAATGCCGAAACTTATGGTGACCTCAAGCAGTATTATTTTAACTATTATGGATGTGCTCATCCAAGTTACTAATATTGACGACCTGTGTACCTTGCTTCTTTCCAAAGTCTAGATCCTCAATAATTGAGAGCTTCCTAGATTGTCTAGTAGGTCATTGTAGCAACGACATGATCACCACCAAGACGAGTCTACCCATAAAATCTTACAGGGTGTTTCGTTAAGTGGATTCAATAATTAAAAAAATATATTATTTTTATTAAAGATCATGGGTTTAAGTAAGTGTATCTACAAAATGTCGTACATTGTCAATGATTGAGAAATATCTTGAACATGTACTACTTGTAACACCTTATATATGATGAATGACATGGAACCTAAGGGTATGAAAGAGAAATTTTACTCCCAATACGTATTGAATTGACCTACAATTTAGGAGAAAGAAAGTTATCAACTGAGAACTTTTAATGACATGTTCTAGAAATTTTATTCCTAACGGGTATAGAACTGCAATTTTTATGGTGCCTTTCTCTTTTTCATTGATTTTTATTTAGCTGATAATGACACTAATTTAATATTGATTTTCGACCGCCGATGATTATTAGCTCTCTTATTTTTTATACTATAACTTTTGTTTTTTTTTCGTGAGTTTTTTTTATTTTGAATAAGAGTATTTGTCCTTGTGATACTTTTTTCTGCTCTTGTGACATGATCCTTACGAATTTTTGTACGTTTTTCGTATACCTTTGTGGTCGTTATCATTCTCAAGGGAATATTTAGTTTTTCTTCGTATCTTTGAGTTTGTGACTATTGTCTTCATTTTTCTCTCTAGACTTAGGTGTGTTGTAATTCTGATGCATTTATTTATTTTATTTAATGAATGTAACACCCTAGACTAGTACGACACACAGTCGACCAATGTAGGATGCCACACGAAACCATCAGAGTGGCTGATCAACACCTTACTCTTTTCTTGTACTATAAAACGACCATTTCCACAAATAAAACATCCATGAAATAATATAATTTAAAACTTTATACCAGGGAGCTCCCAAAATAAATATTTACAATCAAAATATTAGAGACCGACTCTTAATAAAATTTACGACTCAACTGGCACAACAAGGCTTATAAAATATACATGCCCTTCAAAAACTGTTGAGACATACTCTGAATCTGCATTGGGTCTGGACCTTGATCTATCTACTCCTCCTGAAACTCTCGATCTACTAACCTGCCCATAAAATAATCGAAGGCTGAGCTAACTAGCTTAACGCCACACTAACAACTAAAACATACTAAAAGTTTGTTAATGAAATGCTTAAGCTATCAAGCCTACTGCTATCTGGTTTACTGGTCTATTTTGTAATGCTTTAGTAAGGATACTTATATACTAACTCTCTATTCTATGGTAGACATCATGGTGCGGTTGAGAGTTCTGCATCTTGGAGCTCACACTCCCATCTAGTCCACCGAGAATGTGGCCCTCGAAATCTATGCATTGGACACCACACTCTCGACTAGCCCACTCCTTGAGTGTCGAACCTTGCGCCCAAACTAGTCAGCTTAAAGTGCCTTTCGCATTCCCTAAGGATATCCGAACTGAATCTATACTTTCATATCTACTATCTTATCTAAAGGAACTCAGGTGTCCTGGTCGTTTTCCCGAGCATTCAAACAAGGCTAGTCTTATTTCACCCTACTTTATTCTCATTTCTACATTTGAATTAAACATCATTAATGTTCTCACTTGAAGTCTTATATGAGGAAATACTAAAGTGCTGGGGTACCTTGAGTTTAATTCCCTTAAAAACTATCTTTTTTGCCTAAAAAATACTGAAAGTATCGATACTAGCTCAAGAGTATCGATATCCTGCAAACGTTTTGATACTTTATATAAGTACCGATACTTTTAAACATTCTATTCTGCCCCGTTTTGAAAATTTTTGGGAGTTTCAAAACTATGACCCAAAGTTTTGATACTCTTGAAAGAGTATTGATACTCTTGCCCAGAAAATCAAGAATTTGCCCAAAACGAAGAACAAGTATCGATATTATCCTATTGTAACATCCCAAAAACAGGATCAGTAACCAAATTGTCAGAATTTAAAGTTTAGTGGTTCAATTAGAAAAATTTGAAAAGTTCAAGGATTTATGTTGAAATTTTGTTTGGGACTTGATGTCAAAGTTGGATTGTTGTAAGGGTATTATGGTCTTTTCAAAGGAAAGATTTTATCCTCCATCTTTAAATACATAAGCACGTGGGAAAGGAGAGAATTTCTCCAGAGTCTTATTCAGCTTCTTCTTCCTCTCCACTGTGGGTTCATGCATAAGGTAAGTTCGTCTCTAGTTAAGATTTTCTTTCATTTTGAAGTTGGATTTTATTCTTGGGATAGTAATAAAGCTTAAGTAAAGCTTAAGGTAGTTTAAAACTCTAAGATAATTAAGTTAGAAAGGATTAAAGATAATATGGATGTAAGTGAAATCTTGGATTTGAGTTAGTAATTGAAGTTGGAAGTGAAATTTGACTTGTCATCAGTCAAAATAAGAAATTCAAAGTATTAGAAACGAATTTAGAACATGTTGATAATTTGGTTGATTCTTGAATTTGATGTAGATGATAGAATTTTGAAGGAAAATATGTGTTAGAAGAGTACAAATGTGTGCATATTTGAGTTAAGAATATGAATGGGGTTAAAGTATGAAAGGTTTGGGTGAATAAGAGTGACTTTTCGTGCTTAAAATTAAGTTCTGGGCAAGGGTGTATCGGTACCCATTCAACAGGCACCAATACCTCAAGATAAAAATTCAAGAAAATATTCAAAAGGTACTGATACCTTAAGAAGTGTATCGATACCCCCCTTGAAACGAAAATTTTGAATGTAATTTGGGTATCGATACACAGGTAGTGTACCGATACCTCAATGAGAGATGTATCGATACCCTATAGAGTATATCAATACCTACGTTAAACAAGGAATGAAATTAGCCTTTCCTTTAGTTTAAGAAATAAAGGATTAAAGTATGTTATCTAGAATACTGATATGTATAAATGTATGATTATGTAGACATCGAGCGTAAGCAAGTTTCAGAACGACTGACAGATTAGAATTGATCAAGAAGAGAAAGTACGCCATATGAGTAATTGATAACAAGTGAGACACAGGTGAGTGCTAGTTATTATGTATAAGACGTTTTATGGAAACAAGACTCGTGATGAGTCTATTTCCCCTATTAAATTGTATGAGTTCATAAATGCAATTGTTGTATTGATATGATTTCTTGTGGATATGAACATGCATATGTTTATAGGTTAAGTATGTAAATATTAGTCATGAGAATACATGTTTATATGATACATGTTAAGTATCCATGAATTATGTGAACACATGATATTATGATATAAGTGAAGTTATATGATACTAGATTATGAAATTGTATGAAAAGGGTTATATGAGCATGTAAGATAAGTTATCAGATCATGAATCATATAAATTAGTATAATGGATTTATTGTATTAAAGGATAAGTGAGAGAAGCTAATTAACATTGATCTTTCTGATAATAGGAGATTATAAAATAAGTCATGTAATTATATGATCATAAGAGGTAAGCCATATGATAAGATAAATGTAATAAATAAGAATGTAATAAAAAGCTATGTATAAGTGATGAGTTATACAAATATAAATTATAAAGTAATGAATCATGAGACTATATGAGAATAGTATATAAATTAGAGGACATGAATGTAAATGATAATACGAAATTATATGATACGTCTTATAGGAAAGTTGTATATACTTAAAGTAAATTATGATATAGGAATTATCGAATGAAGAATTATAAAATTCTATGAGAAGGTTAAAGGCGCTATATAATTTAAGTAGAGAAATGAACATAAGAAAGTGAACTAAGATCAATGATATTATGTGATACATGTGAACAAGAGATGAAAATGATATATATGTCCTATGAACACAAGAGAATTATTATAAGATAAGTGAAATATGATTATGAAATCATATGAAAAGTGAAATGTACATGTGAATATGTGAAATGATATAAAAGAGAATGCCCATGTTAAGTGTCATGAGAGCTAGAGGTATAGTTGGCATGCCAAGAGTCGAGGGTTACCTATGTCTTTCGAGACATATGGATAATTTACCTATGTCTTTCGGGACA